TCTGATCTTGGCCAGCAGAAGAGCTGTGTGGCTCTGGCTCATAGCAGCCTCCAACACCTGCCTTTAGATGAAGCCTATCTGCTGACTGAGTCTACCTCTGCCTCTCTATTGAGGTTCTAGTCTTTTTCTCATCTCTACCTTTACTCTCTCTCTTTAACCTCAAAGGAGACTTTGTGCTGTCTTATTCAATCTCCTCCCTCAAGCCTCTAATTAGCCCCATTTTATAGATAAGAAAGACACAGAACTTGGCTTTAAGTGCCAGTCCAGGACTTGAATGCACACACACCAGCTCCACCAGTGCCCAACAATCTGTGCCTTCTTGTCCCTGTCCCTTGTTTTCATCTTCCTTGAACACTTAACTATTATTTTTCTTTTTAAAAATCACATAAAAATAAAATTCTTCTAATTTCAGAATGAAGACATATACATAAATATTTAAGCAATATAAAAAAATTTAAATTGTCTCCTCTCTTCTCAGACCTCAAAATAATCATCATCAAACTATTTAGTGTATTTCCTTCCAAGTTACAAGTTTTTTCTAAAAATGGGCTTTTTCTGTATGTACTTCTCTGCACATTGCTTTATTCATTTATTTACTGTGAACAGTTTCTTGTGTTTAGAACATCTATTCTGCATTCCACTTAACAGCTTCAGTTTTCCATTATTATCATAAATTCTTTAGTAGGTGCCATCCTGATGAATTTTGGGGTTGTTTCCAACTTTTCATTATGTCAAACAATACCACAATTAGCACCTTTGTGCATTTAGCTTTGCACGCTTGTGTAACTATTTCCGTAGGATAAATTCCTGGAAATGGAATTTCTGAGTCAAACTATGCACATTTAAATTTTTAATAAGTATTATTAAACTGACCTCCCGAAAGACTGGATTTACATTTACACAGTAAGTGTCTTTTCTGTGCTTACTTGTCAGGCTGCTGTTACGATTTTTTTTAAGTTTTGTCCAATAGATTAAAAGTATTTTATTCTTGCATTGTTATGCACCACTTATTGTTAAGGTTGAATGTGCTTACAGGTCATTTCTGTCCCTTTGGTGAACTATCCACTCATGGCTTTTGTTCATATTTATTTGGGTTTTTTCATTTTCTTATCAACTCATAAATCTTACATGTTTTAGCAATCATTTTCATTGTGTTAGAAATATTTTCCTGCTTTAATATTTGTAGTTTGATTTTGATATATCACTCTAATTGTGAATGTGATCAAACTTCAAAGTCTTATGGTTTGTTTCTGGTTTTCATTTTGCTTTATTTTATTTTATTTTTTAAAGATTTATTTTTTTATTATTTATACAAGCACTGGGTACAGTCAGAAGCGCGGGAGGGTGAGAGAATTCACCAGAGCCAGAGCGGGGAGCAGAGCAGGCAGAAGGACCGAAGTACATACTGCTGAGGGGAGCAGCGGGCGGCAGGAGAGGTCTGTGCGCCACTGGGACCCTCCTCTGGTGGCCGGGGTGCAGCCAGGGATGGACCAGGCGCTGCAGAGGCTGCGGGCAGCTTCGCAACCCAGTGTCAACTGCTGCGCCACCGGGGAGGCCCTTCATGTCATTTTAAAATGACCTGCTCCATCTCAAGGTTATAAGAATGTTCACCCACTTTTCCTTTTTCATTTTTTTTTGCTTTTACATTTAAATCTTTTAGTAAGATGAGTGAAATAAAAATCTGGCCTCCCATATTCTTCTTTGATTGACTAATCGTTCAAGAAAAAATTATTGAATAATTTTCCCCTGAGCAGTACCATACCAACTGTATCACATATGCGCTAAATTCTCATGTGCATTTGGGGCTATTTCTTGACTCTGTTCTGATGGATTATGCCAGTCTTGTGCCAACCCCAGTTCACCGTGCTTTTATTTCAACTTAATATTTGGTAGGGCATGTCTCCCCATTACTCATCTGTTTCTAAATGCTCTGTTTTTTCTCATTCTCATTCTGGATGAAATGTTGAATTATTTTGTCAAAGTTCCCAAGCCCCTTCTTGGAAGGTGGAGACTGCATTGTATTTATGGATTTAGGGGAAACTAACATCTTTTATATATGATCTTACCTAAGAATACATTAGCACTGTTTAAGTAACTCAAAGGAATTTAGTTATATTGATTGCTCAAATATAGGTCCTATAATTTCTTGCTATTTCCTGGTTTTTATTGCTATTATTAATGAATGAAATATCTACATCCATTTGATTTTCTAGCTAATTATTAAAAAGTCATTAAAAATGTTTACATTTTCGACTACATGAATGGGCCTTGAGGGCATGATGCTAAGTGAATTAGACAAAGAAAGACAAATACTGTATGATCTCACTTATATGTGGGTTCTAAAAAATGAAACAAACACTAAATTCATAGACACAGAGAACAGAGTGGTGGTTGCCAGAGTGGCGGGGGAAGGTGGGGAAGACATGAAGTAGTGAAGGGGGTCTAGAGGCACAAATTCCCAAAAAATGAATAAGTTCTGGGGATGAAATTTACGCATGGTTAATAGTACTGTATTGTATATCTGACAGTTGCTAAGAGTAGATCTTAAAAGTTCTCACTACAAGGAAAAAAATACATAACTATGTGTGGTGATGGATGTTAATTAGACTGACAGTGGTGATCATTTCATGATACAAACACATCAAATCATCAAGTTGTACATCTAAAATTAATATTATATGTCAGTTATATCTCAATAAAACATAAAACGTTTAAAAGCTAGTGCCTGTTCTTAACTCTTATCACTATCCATGCTCTTTCTTACAGAGCTAGCTTGGCCTTGAGTACATTTCTTGAGTACATGAACTCCAAATATCCACAGCCTTGCCATCTCTCCCAAACGATCATTATTTGAACTCTAACTCGGTATTTCCTAAATTCCAAAAAATGCATTCCACTGTCATAATTTTTCCATATTCCAAATACCACTTGTGCTATTATTTACTTAATATTTTTCTTTAAACCAACTCATTAAATATAAATGTAGTGAATCTTATGCAATAGCCATGAAATAACAAGTAGTCTGATGTGCTGGTTATAATTCTCTAATATGAATGAAAAGAAATTTAAACGATTCAATTTTTAAAAATGTTCTCATAACACTTCAAAACATCTCTGGTATCATCCACCACATTTTGGGGGAAACTTTTAACTGGTAACAAACCTCTCAACCTGAATATTCAGCATTGCTTCAAATTCAACACTCTGGGCCTCCCCGATGGCGTAGCAGCGGTTGAGCACTGGGTTGTGAAGCTGCTTGCAGCCTCTGCAGCGCCGGTTAAATCCGACCACCGGGCGAGGGTGCCACATGGCTCACAGACCTCTCCTGCTGCCCGCTGCTCCCCTCAGCAGTGTACTTTGTCAGTCTGCCTATTCTGCTCCCCATTCTGGCTCTGGTGAATTCTCTCACTGTACCAGTGCTTCTGACTGTACCCAGTGCTTGCATAAATAAATAAATAAATCTTTAAATTCAGCACTCTTCCACTGCCCTTGTTCTAAGTGATCATTTTCCCCAACTCCATCAGTGCCAAAGGACTCCTTAGTCCCCATCCTGAGGATGTTTTCTTTCAGTTGCATTTTTTTTTTTTTTAGGCATGTATTATATTTATTTGTTTGTTTATACAAGCACTGGGTACAGTCAGAAGCGCGGGAGGGTGAGAGAATTCACCAGAGCCAGAGCGGGAAGCAGAGCAGGCAGAAGGACCGAAGTACACTGCACCGGGGAGCAGCCGGGGATCGAACCGGCACCGCAGAGGCCGCGGGCAGCTTTGCAACCCAGCGCTCAACCGCTGCGCCACCGGGGAGGCCCTCTTTCAGTTGCATTTTGCAAACTGTCCCTTGCCTTCCATTCTCTCACTCTGTCTCTCTCTCTCCCTGGTGATAAGTATTTCCCAGCAGGGTTCCTTGCTGAGACCGAGGGCAGTCTCTTGCTCTGAGGCCCATCTTTCTGAGCAGCTTCACCACAGCTGACTCCTTATTGCCCTCTGCATTACTTAAACACATTTTGTGTTCCTTTACCCCATCCTCTACTGATCCAGCCAACTGTATGTGATCTGCCCCATCCAAATCTTACCTGTCCTTTAGGCTCACTTGCAGACTAGGGCATCACTTCTTGGGTATTCCAGCCCTTCTCTTACTCCTGTAGTGCTGTCTAGTGTCTGTCTCACCTCCCTGAATAGACTATAAGCTGCTTGATGGCAGACTTCAAGTCTGAATATTTCTTCAGCCTGGGTGCATTGCCAAGCCATGCTCATTATTTGCTTGTTTTGAGTCAGAGCACGGTGGCATTCCCGAAGACTTACCTCCAGTGCCGCCTTTCCCTGTTACTAGCCACAGACACTTAGCCCCCCCCCCTACAACCTACACCCCCCACCAACCAAGGGCCAGAGGGGAAAGGAATGGAGTGAAATAGGCAGAGTCCACTGTGAAACAGAAGAAGCCAGTTCTAGGATTGTTAGTCTTTTAATATATTATTCTGAAAAGAAAGGAATTAAAAAAAAGTTCCTGACATCTTTTGATCTTTTTTTAATTTAAATAAATACCCTGACCACCCCCCACCCACTAAAATGTCCCTCCTTCCCCATCAGCCCACCCATCCCTGGTGCTAGACCCTCACCCCAGAGCTAAATAAGACCTGTTTCTGAGCAGGCCACTGCTCACTACCAAATTCAGGAGACTGGTAAGTACTGTAAATAGGTCTAAGGCCCTCCATTCACCTGAGCCCCTCCCTTCCCTGCTCCACTCCCCATTCCAGACCAATCCCTAGCTTTGAGGTGGGCGTGGATGGTGGGGCCTCGGGTATTGGGGAGAGTGCAAACTAGGTTCCCATTTAATTGCCCGCAATTCCCCACTCCCCGCTTAGAAGTAGGCAGAAGGGCCCAGAATTGCCCTCCAGACGAAAATAAATAACAAAATAAATCCCCCTCCCCATTCCCGTGTCTATAAAATAGCCCCTCTACAGCTCACACTCCAGCGCCACCCCTTCGCTTGACCCTCCCCCTTCTTCCACCCTAACCCTCTCCTCCTCCCCCATGCTGCTCACCTCCGGCTTGGCCTTTGCCCTTCCGAGAGGAAGGGTCAACCAGGCTCTGCGTGGAGAGCAGAGAAGGGCCTCACCTCCAACCACAAGCAAACCCTCCCCCTGCAAATGTCTGGGGGTGCTGCTGGTGCCCCAAACCCGATGGGCCTGGCAGACTCCTCGTCTCTGGGGTTAGGGTAGAGGGCAGGGGTTCTCCCTGGCTCTCTCCCGCCTGGTCCTTTCAAGTGTCCCTCTTTCAAGGCAAGTCTCCAGCCGGGCATGGCCCGCCCCGCTCCGCTCCCGTCCCGGCGCCCGGCCTCCCGCCCTCCTCAGATGGCAGTGTCCCAGAGGACGGTGTGCTGCCGGCGGCAGGGCGGGGTGCCGGACTTGCGGGGCTCGGGCCCTCGCCGCCAGCTGGGGAGGATGGGCATGCTCTCCTGCTTGCAGAGGCCCCGGTCGGGGCGGTGGCGCGCCTTGATCTCCTTGCACACGCAGCGCTTGCGCTCGATCACCTCCAGCAGCTTGCCATCGCGCTCGCGGGCCGGCTGGGGCGGCAGGGGCAGCGGTGGCGGCAGTGCAGGGTGGGTCTGTGCCCCTTCCTCCCGCCGCCGGCCCCCGACGGGGGAGAAAGGAATAAGGGGGGTCAAGGACCTCAGAATGACTGGGTACTTGGAGACCCACATTGTCAACCGGGGGAAAAAAGTTGTCTTGCCTAAGTCCTGTCCCCTTTACCTGGCTGGGAGGATGGGGGTAGGAAAAAGCGTGGGGAGAGTGGGATGGTGGCAGAAATCTAGCCCTTGCCTCCTTTGTCTGGCCCTGCGAGACTGAATCTGGTGCCAGTCTGAGCCTGTGTCGCCCTGAAAGGGGACACCTTTTAAAAAAAAACTGTAGTAAAAAAAAAAATCTAAAAATTCCCAGTAGGCTGCGTTTTTCTAACTGATCCCCCCCACCCCCCCAAGGGATACCATTTTCCAAACACACAAGGGTCTGTCATAGGCCGGTAGAGGCCCTGAGGGATCTCCAACAGACCTTGCTTGGCTGCCCACCTTCAGCAGCCCCTTCCCGCTCTTGTCTAGGTACTTGTTAATCTGCCCCAGGCCCCAGCCTGAGCCCTTGCCTTTTTTTCCATACCCAGTCTTCCCTACCTGCTCTTTCACAAATAAAAGAAAACCCAGCATCACTGTCATTGTCCTCCTTACCTGGCTCGGGGTGTCCCTAGGCTGGCTGCAGGGCCGGGGTGTGTGGAGCGCGGCCTGCCGGACTCCAGAAGTGGAGGCTGAGCGCCCCAGGCGGTAGCCTCCAGTGAAGTCTGAAGTGGGAGAAGGAGAAAAGGAAGAAGCCATCAGGTTTCCCCCTGCCCCAGGACAGCCCCTTCCAGGCTACCCCCTTGTCTCATCAGAATGGGGATGGAAGTGTGCAATGAGGCTGTCCAGCCTGGGAGATGCCACCACCCGGACTGCCCCCTCTAAGTACAGGTATCTTTGGGCAGGGTGTCACCTCCGTTGCGGTGGCAGGCAGGGAAGGTCTGGCAGGGTACAGGCAGTGCCGTGCGGCTCCCTCCTCGGTCCCCTCCGTGGTGGATCCTGGCCAGCAGGCCCTCAGCTCCCTGGCTCCTCACTGGGATCCCTGATGCCATGGGGCCCCTGTCCTCACGCTCCACTTTGCCTGGACCCTCGGCACTGCCGTTCCAGGCCCGGGCACCATCGTCGACTTCTGTTGGGGTGACAAAGAAAGCTCAGTGCCTGCAAATGGGGCTTGCTGTTCCTGCAGCTACACACACACTGTAGCATGGGTGGAGGAGAAGTGACTGCTTTTTGCAGGTCATGGCAGGGAAGGGGAGGACCCTACGACACAGTCCCTCAACACATACACACACAGGAAAGACCCCAGTGCTGCACCCACTGGTATAGCCCTGGGATGAAACACATAGATATTTGCTGCTTCCAAACCCCATCCCTGGTCAGAGGGATCTCTCCTACCCCAGTTTTATCTTCAGAACTCCTCCAACCCAGATAGGGCCAGAATGATCCCCACCTCCTGAAGCAGAGACTAGGGATGCTATTCCCTAAGAGGGGGAGAATCCCAAATTCTGAGCTAGAAAGTTGGGGAGGGGGCGGTAGGGGGAAGGGCTGCATGTGAACTAAGCTCATCTCTGAGAGTTGGCCTGGCAGAGCATTTCGTTGCCAGGCAACAGTAGAGGCCTCCCTCCTGTCTGGATGGGTTGCCATGGTAACAGCTGGGAGGCAGCTGTGTTTAGCTCCTAGTGTGCGCACACTCACACACACCCCTGCAGCCCAGGGAAGGGAGGGGCAGGGAGTAGAGCAGGACATGGCAAGAGGAGAGGTCTGCTCTTGGGGTCAGATTCTACCTCCTCCCGATTCCAGTTCTTCCTGCCCTTCCAGCACACACATGGGGACCAAACCCATTTGCTGCATGCCCCCTGTATTTTAGACTCCCAGAAAACTTCCCAGTTCAGAACAATGGGCTGTGGCTTCCAAATAACCCCTCCAGCACCTCCCCCAAGTCATCATGGACATTCCCACGTCCCTGCCTCCCACTCCCAACCCTTCACTCACTGTCCAGCTCCTTTGCCTTCCTCCCTCCGTACAGGACTTTCCTCTGCAGAGCCCAGCCTGCCCCAAATGCTGTGGCACCCATCTCCTCTTCTTCCTCTGGTGTCCCTGTACTGGTGATGACATGGGCGCAGGAGATGCTGGCAAAGGCACCCCCATCAGTCCCTTGCTCCTGAAGCTGGATCTTGACCATGGGGGATGGGGCCCCCATTCCACAGCCCTTGTTCAGCACCCCCCCAGCCTTGAGGCTCTCATAGGCAGGGGGTCTCTTGAGCCCAGCTGCAGCAGCTGGGTATGTCCAGAGGGGGGTCAGGGGGCCTGTAGTTGGGTCCGGAAGGCTGTGGGGGGAGGCCAGGCAGCCTCGGTGGTGGAGGACTCCAGCTGCTGTGCCCACAACCCCGCTGTGGGGGCTGGATTTCCCAGGCGCAGGGGGCCTTGAGCTGGTGCACAGCATCCCATGGAGGACTGAGATCTCTTTCTCCGTCTTTGGCTCCCCAGCACCCAAGGGTGGACCAACTGGCAGGACGGAGTGAGTGGTCACCTTGACTGCTGAGTACACCATGGTGTAAGACACAGCCTTGTCCCTGGGGGGGCCGGGGAGCAAGGCGGCTGGGGCAGGAGGGGCTGCCGGCGCCCCTGCCGCCTTGGGGCAGATCATGCTGTGGGAGTTGGGGAGTTCCCGCTCCCCCGGGGCTGGCCAGAGCCCTGGGGTGGCAACGGTGTTGAGTGGCTCCGGGCCCGGCCCGAGGGTCCCAGCAGCAGCAGGTTGGCAGCAGGAGGCGGAGGCGGTGGGGGAGGCGTCTCCCGCTCCCGGACAGGCACTTGGGGAGCTGGGGTAGAGGAGCTGGTTGGCTCCTTGGAGTGACAGAGGACTGGTAACCTCGAAACCCCATCGCCAGGGGTTCGGGAAGCAGATTTGGCTTGGGGGAAGGCCAGGAGCGGAGGACGGTGCTGAAGGAGGTTGGGGAAGGGCGGGGGAATGTCACAAGGAGTGGTCTTGGTGGGCGTCCCGTCCCTCCGGCTGGGGAGGGCCGAAGCTGGCCGGCGGTGGGCATGGGGCTGAAGGGCATGAGGCTGGTGTATGGAGGCTGCCGCCATCAGAGCTGGGACCCCGTTGGTCCGGCCTTCCCCGGTCTCCTCAGGCAGCGGGTACTTCATCTCCTCGTATATGGCCTCACTCTCTTCTGAGTCCGAGTCAGCGCCAGCTGGAGGGGTTGGGCCCCCACCCCCAAGAGGGGGCGCAGTGAGGGCCCCTCCACTTCGCCCTCCTCCCCTGAAGACATCGCCCACCATCTCAATGTACACGGGCTCTTCTTCCTGGGCACCCACCTCAGGGTCCCCAGCTACACAGGACCCCCTACTGAGGCGCTGAAGGGGCAGGTTACCCCCTCGAGGAGAGGGGGCTGAGGGGCAAGACTCATCGAAGGAGACAGAGAGCTGAGTGTTAGGGCTTCGTCTGGGCTTCTGTGGAGGAACCTTTCGGCTGGACTCACGGCCCTCTGGGGTTGGTTTCTGTGAGCCTGGGTTGGGTAGAAAAGGGAAAAATTAACTGGGTTCTTAGCTGGAGAAAGAAACAGGAAGACCCCCTTTGGTTTCTTGACCCATCTGCAAAGACATCTCTGCCTCTGTATTTTCCCCACACCCAGTTCTAGCAGGTTCCTTTTCTACCAATCAGCCCTCAGTCTCTCTAAAGAAGTCTCCAAAATCTGTGGTTCCCCACCTTTATGTGCCCCCGCGGTCACATCTTTCTCAAGAATGGGCTTTTCAGGGATCCCCTGTCCTTGAATGGTTCATCTCAGGTCCATCCAAAGAGGAAATCCCCCATTCTCTCTGAGAATGGAATCTTCCATTTCCTAGGTTCTTGCCTGAATGAACCCTCCAGGCAGACCTCCCCTGGCCAGAAATGGATCCTCCCAGCTCCCTGAGGAGGGGTAGGGTGTCTTACCTGCTTTCTTGCTGGGGGGTGTCTCTGCTCCTGACCCAGCCATGCTGAGCTTGGTGCTGGGGTGTCTCCGAGGCTTGGCTGGGGGTCTTCGGGTGCTGCTGTCCTCTGTGAGACCACCACTGCCCACCCCAGGCCCACCCCCCACACTGTCCATGCTGCCCACTGAGTGGCAGGAGAGGGAGCGTGGGGCCATGGCACTGCGGCAGGGGTGGGGGGTGTGCTCCTGGGAGGCAGGCATTGTCATGAAGCCCATCCTGAGGGAGCGGCGCAGCGAGGCAATGTCCCTCACGCGGACCCCAGGCCCTGGGCCAGCCCCGGGCCCTGCCGGGCCTGTGGGAGACACCTCCTTACTGGAGCTGGAGAGAGAAGGCCAAGATGAAGCAGAGGTTAGGCCTCAAGTCCGGGTCTCCCCCTTGTCTACCCCCAAACGAGCTTGCAACCCAGTGGCCTCCCAGCGAGGAGAAAGGAGGAGGCGAGGGAGAACCTGAAGATCCAGGGCACAGAGGTAGAAGCTTCAGTCGGCACCTCTCAGCTTTAAAAACAGGCAAGACAATCAGGGACAGGGATGAGAGAAGGGGTGAGTATGTGTGCAGGGGCGTATCCCTGCACCTGGGAGATCACAGCCTGGACATACTGGGCGCACAGCACATGTGTAGACAGATTCACACATAGGTAGAAACGCAAACCCAGGGCGCACAACCCCACCTGGCACACACGCCACCTGCCACCACAGCTCCGCTCCTGCTCACTGTCGTGCTGGCCCACACCTGGCCTCTGGCCTCCCCTCGTGGCCTGCGGCCTTCGCTCCCACACCACACTGCACCTCCTCTCCCAGACACAGGCTGTACCGCCGCATCGCCCTTCCCTGGCTGATCCTTTTTCCTCCCTCTCTCTCTCTCTCTCTCTGCCTCCGAGCTGTCCTCTCTCCGTCACCCTCCCAGGCTCACCCCCATTCCCTTTCACTGTCCCTGAGCTTCCGTGTGAGTGAAGAGGGGGGCGGCTGGCAGGGAAGAGGGGAGAGCTGCCGTGGGGTGGGCTCTCATTAAGGCCTTGTCTACTAACCCTTCATTAGGGAGAGATCACTGCAGTGATAGCTCTGATTAATCTAATTAACAACAAGAATTAAACTCCACAGTAGCAAGGAGGGAGAAGGGAACTGGGAGGTGGCTCTGACTCAGGCTCTGAGAGGCTATGCAGTCAATGGGAGTGAAAAGAAGGGAGAGGCCAGGTGCAGGCCTCTGGGAGGGCAGGGAGAGGGCAAGTAGGGAGGGGTCCCCAGCCACAGCGCTTCTGCAGCCTAGCCTACATATGCCCCAACACACACACATAACCCTGCCACTCAGCCACTCACCAACCCCAACAGAAGAGACTTGAAGAGGGCCAAATGGATCCTCTCTGGTGCCCCTCAAATGACCCCACCCCTGGACCATGAGGGCAGCAGAACCTCCCCTTCCAAGGTCAGGTGATAGGGGAAGCAGGAGCCAGGAGCCACCCCCAAGTTGATGGAGAGACTCCAGGCCAGAGGTGAGTCTGGGAGGAGTGACTTGGGGCTCAGAGATGGAGAATTGCCAACAGGGTGCTCCTGAGCTAGAAGCCCCCCGAAAAGGCCAGGGCAGAGGCTGGATTCAGGAGCAGGGCGGGGACAGGGTGTGTGCTATTCCAGCAATTCTGTACTGAGATCAAAAAGGCTCATTGATGACCAGGCTTCTGGATCCAGGATGGGCAGGAGGGATGTGACCAAGCCAGGGGGGAGGCAGAGGCGGGACAGGTGATGGGGCAACCCAAGACCACAGCCTTACCTCCTCTTGGCCTCCTCCTCCTTGTGCTGCCTCCACTCCAGCTTGGTTTTCCGGTAGAGGAGGTTCATGTCGTGGGGCAGGAGGTGGGGGCTGGGGGGCTCTACTCAGCGCCACCAGGCCCGGGGGGCGGCCCTCCCTGGGTCCCGGATCCACTTGGTGGGGAGGGATGGGATGGGAAAAAAAGAAAGATGTGGGGTGGGTGGGGGCCAGGAATGAATGAGAGAGAGAGACAGACAGACAGACAGACAGAGAGAGAGAGAGGAGCAGAGATGTGACTTGGGTCCTCAGAGAGAGGAAAACAGATGGAGGAACAGAAAAACCCCACACTGCCTGTAGGACCCACAGACAGACAGCCATAGATGGACATATGTACACAGAGTCACACACCCTGACAAAGGTGTTCAGAGCCACAAATACACACTTGGGAGAGAGCATATCAACACAGATTCCCATCCTGTAAATACATCCAGACCCAGCACACAGACAGGCCCCACGAATCCAGTACTCACACAAACACACATCAGACACAAACCACCCGGCCGCAGACCCACAGCTACAAACAGAGGACCAGACACACAGACAGGCATAGGTAAACACAACCTAGGAAGAGGCAGGCACACACAGACATAAACACCCACCGACACACCCACAGCACACACAGACCTCCAGACACACACAAATCAGCTACACAGAACTGGACATACCTACAGACAAGGAGTTATGCCAGGGCCTACTTGCGTAGTGCATTGCACCCCACTGGGGAAGGGGGAGACAGTCAGACTCCCACCCTCTCTTGGGCCCTGAGACTGGGATGGGGGGGGTTGTCATGAGGGCAGGGTGGAGATGCTGGATAAAGGATGGGAGCCTTCTGCCTTGGGGATCTAAAATACCACCCACCCATCTATCCCTGCTCCCTGCCGTCCCCCACTTCCAGTTTGCCTGGGCTGGGCCTGTGTCCACCCCTATTCCTGCTCCCTGGACCCTCAGCGATGGAGGGAGACATCCACTTCCCTCACTTATTGCCCAAATCACCTTCCTCCTCCAGGATCTGGGAGGCTCCCGGCTTCCCTTTTCCAGTCTCCGCCCCTCAGTCCCACCCGGGGGTCTCCAGTCTAGCCCCATAGCTACCTCCTGAGCTGCGGCCTCCGCACCTGCCCTGGTTTCCCTTTCCCCAAAAACACTCTCCTTTGCGCCTTCGGTCTCACCTCTCCTCCCAGGCGCCCCTCCTCACTGCCGTCCTCTCCCGTCCCTGTTTCTTCCCAAACTGGCCTGCTTCATCCCCTCTCCATCCAAGGGCCCCAGGTTCCCGGCCACCCCTCCCCTTCCCCTTGTCCTGCTACCCTGGGTTTCTTCGTCTCTCGCCCTGCCAATCCTCCCTGCTCCTTGTACCCCCCACCCCACCTCCCCGCGCCAAGCCTCCCCAATTTCTACATCACCGTACCTGGCCTGCCGGGCGCCGGCCCCCCCATGCCGGGCTCCGCCCGGAGCAGGAGGAGGGAGGAGGAGAGACAGAGAGAGACCGGGGGGAGCGGAGCTGGGCCCTGCCGCAGAGACAGCCCCGCCTCCGGGTCCGCCCCCAGACCCGCCCCCGGCCCCAAACCCACCCTTCCACACCCTCCAAGGACGGAGCGGGAGCTGCCGCGCCGCGCCGCTAGGCTGGGGTGGGGCGTCCGGGGGCCGCGGAGCCCGCGGGGAGACTCGGGGAAAGGTCGTGGATTTGGGGGATCCGGCCCCAGCCCACCCCGATTTGGGGCGACCGCCCCTCCCCGCCCCTCGCCCCCTGCCCCACCGGGCGGTGCTGGGTGTTGGTGTCCAAGACCCGGCTGAGTGAAGCGGGGCGCGGCACGCAGGGGCGCCCCCCAGCGGCAGCACGGGGCTTACACCCACGCGCATACCCGGTGCGCCCCGCGCTCCGCGAGTGCACACCCCGCGTCTGGCCTCGACGAGGTTGGCTGCGGCAGCCGAACCCGGGGTGCAGTGAGGCGGCGAGGCCGGCAGGGGGGGCCACTCTCCGGGCCCAGAGGCGCCGGGAGTCGGGGGACCGGGCCTTGCGCGCCTCTGCCCAGCAGGGGGCGTGCTCGGCTGGCCCGGCCCCGCCTTCCTGCCACCTCGCAGGTGCGGGGAGGGCACTGGAGCTGATTCGCTGGGCGCGCGCCGCTCTCCCTGCAGTCTCTTAGGCACCGGACCTTGTTTCACCGTCTGGGCTCAAAGTCTTCCGCCAGTCCATTCTCGCGGTTCAAGCCATCCTCCCGGGAACCTTTGACTCTGCCGGCGACGCCCGCCGACACCTGGGCGCAGCCAGGAGACCACTGACGAGGCCCACCGCGGCTAGGGCCCGGGTGCGGTCGCTGCAGCCGCTGAGGGACGCCACGGCGGGCCCCGCCACCCCCAGCCCCTTTCTTATCAGCTCCCTGAGAAATGACTTCTTGAAAGTCCTTTAGGCGCACATAAGTGGCAAGAAGACCTCGGTTCTACCCTTGGTTGGCGCTGAAACTAGTTTGGCGCCCCCCAACCCCCAAGTAAAAGATATCCAAGAGCTTGTCCCTGGAACTGTGACTGTTACTTTATAAGGCAAAGTCTTTGCAAATGTGCTGTATTGCTTTAGGCAAACTGCACAACCTCTCTGAGAGATGCCTTATCAGTTACCTACCTCTAAAATGTTACTGGGATGCAGTAAAATAACACAAAGTGCTTTGTAAGTCGTAAAGGGGCCCATACTTTTAAGGGCTATTATTAATGCCCCCAGGAGAGGTAACACCTGAAAGCACATCGTAGCCCTTTTATATTTGCACTTTAATGTGAACGAATATTTAGTCATTCAACGTTTCTGCAGAGACCAACAGCGTTGCAGGGACTCTATAGACACGGAGGAGTCCCAGCTGATGAACAGTGAGTTGGTGGGAAGGGGAGGATCGAGAGATAAGTTTTGAATAGAGAGATAAGTTTTGAATAGTTAGTAGCGAGTCAGTACTGAAGGAAGGAGGATTTGGGGGTGGAGCTGCAAGGCCTTATTGGGAAGGTTGCCTGGCTGAAATGGTTAGGGGGGACAGCATGGGGACCTGGTGTGGGAGAGACACAGCAGGAGGCTGCTTCCAGACCCCAGGACTTGGGTGGCCTGGGGACCTGGCTATGGTAGCTGCTGTTACCCTGGCTGAAGGGAGAGATGCATGGCAGATGCTTTTTAACGAAGAGATATAGAATAAAGGTAAAAACAGTAGCAAGGGGTTTTGCATCATTTTGCTTTTAGCTAACCTTAAAAAGTGGTTAAAATTTTCCATGAGCTAAAACTGAGGAAGGAGGTATGTGGGAATAGTCCCATTTGATGAATTAGAATCCATTTCTGTGAACATGGGATTGAAGGCAGATGTGACCATAGGGCACTGCTTTTACTAAAATCATTCCTCGCAGAATGTTGGTTGGGGTGCCCTACAAAAAGGAGAATACAGCAGTTGGAAGTTTATTCTCTTTGCCAAGCACAGTGGGCCCCATATAAATGTGTGTGGATTCTTTGTAGTGAGCAAGGGGAAAATGGGAGAGGAGCAGGGTGAGAAGTAGGGGAGGGGTCCAGGCTTGTGGCCAGCTAGGTTTGCCCTCAGCACATCTGTGTGGGCAACTGTGTGTACACATGTGTGAGACAGGCTGTTGGAGAGAAAGCGCAACTCAGCAGCTCTGAGAGGTGTCTTCTTTGTTTCTGTATATGTTTCTGGGGGCCAGGCAAGAGCACACCCTCGGATGTGGAATATTCCGGCTTTCCCATAGACACCGTTCTGAACCTCCTGGGTCTCAATTTCCACATCTGGCGAGGGAGATAATATGATGTCTGGGTTTTGATTCAAATACTCCAGCCTAAGACAACAAAAAACACTGGGAATATAGCTGAAATAAGGTTGGCGGTGAATTGGTAATTGTTGAAAATGCGTGATGGGTACCTGGGAGTTCATGATAGTACTATTCTTTCTACTTTGGGACGTGTTTGAAAATTATACTAATCTGCTTTTTAAAATAAGAACTGGGAGAAAAGCAGTACCTCTCCCATACAGTTAGGGTGAAAACCAGAGAAGCTATGACAGTCAAAGGCAGGGCAGTACCGTAACATTTTCTAGGCGTTCATGGGGGTGGAGGGCACCCAGTCCAGCTCCCATTAACTTCCTTCCCATTCTTCAGCTTGTCCACAGGCCAATGGCAGCAAATGCCTGCAAGTGAGGGAATCTCAGACCTCCCTGCAAACTCCTCCCCTTTCTCTCCCCCTCTACAGCCCCTCCTTCCGCGGCATTGCTGGGCTTGGGCCCAGCAGGTGTGGGGTTAAAGGAACCCGTTTGGGGCCCCGGGAGCAGCAGCAGCGGCGGTGGCAGAGCAGCAGCAGCAGCAACTGCACCAGCAGCAGCAGTGGCTGGCCTGGCCCAGGGCCAGCTGGCGGGGAGCCCCAGGAGGGAGAGGGGGCGGAGGAAGAGGGGAAGGAGGAGGAGGAGGAGGAGAGGAGTAGTCAGCAGGCCCGAGGAGGCAGGACTTCCTGGTGTGGGGGTTGTCAACAGCCCAGAAAGAGAAAGACAGAGACCGGGAGTGCTGAGGAGTGGAGAGAGAGACCCAGCGGTGCCACGCGGGAGGAGTCTTGGGAGACCCACCCGCCCAGACCCCTGAGGCGGCTGCCACCTGGACGATCAGGGGGGCTGAGCCGCCCCCTCCCAAATTAGTTTCGAGATCCCTGGGGCTTCAGAGGTTGCGTCTGAGTTCCACCAACGAGAGGGGGGTTCCTTCTTTTCTGGAGAGCAAACTTTCCATGGAGATGCCTTGTGGGGTGAGGTGCGGCCCCTGAAGAGGACTGGACACCCTTCGATTGCCGCTTGTGCTGCTGGGGCCAAGAGGCCCCAAGGAAAGGACAGTCCGACATCTTAGGTGGCCCGGACGGACCCTCGGCCCAGCTTGGCGGCCAAGGCCAAGAGGTAGGGCTTGGGGCTGGGCGGGGCACTGGGTTGGGGGTGGGGGGAGCAGGGCCTGCCCCTGGGATGGGGGAGCTAGGGTTTGGGGCCTCAAGGCCGAGCAGACGCCTCCAGGCGGCTGGGCCAGGCTGAGGAGCTGCTTCGCCCCTGCTCTGGAGCCCTTGCCTCGGGACGACACGGGTCCCGTGAGTTTGAATCCCAGGCGACAGATATCCAACTTTGGGTCTGGGCTGCCGCTTCCTGCTCTGTGCGCCTGCCCGGATCTGTCCTCTCCACTCTGGTCTCTCTGCCTGTCTCTTTGTCTCTGGGTCTCTGGTGGTTTCCCCTTCCTCCCCCATTCTGCTCCCCAGAGAGGAAGCCCCAGAGGTGGCCTGCCCACTGCTTTCTCACACATACACATACACTCTCTCTCTTTCTCTCTCTTTCTAGTTTGCAAACTCAGCTCTGGAGTTCAGCAGCGACAACAGCAGGAAAAACCTGCCCCTGCCCTCCCCTCCCGCCACCTCCCTTACCCTGTTCTCCCTTCATCAACCAGGCACCCCCAGTTCCCACAAGGCCCTCCCGCCATGTCGGACCCAGACGTCCCCAGGGGCCCAGATGCCCCAGCCATGTGGCCCCCCTGTTCCAGGGGCGCCTGAGCTCCTTTAAGGAGTCCAAGCTGCCCCCCACCCACCTCAGCCCAGCCCTGAGCCCCAGGGACCATGAGTGGGGGCAAGAAGAAAAGTAGTTTCCAGATCACCAGCGTCACCACGGACTACGAGGGCCCAGGGAGCCCAGGGGGTTCAGATCCCCCCGCCTCACCGGCCCCTGCTGGACACCCACCCCGCCTACCCAACGGGGAGCCCAACCCTGAGGCTGGGGGCAAGGGCACCCCCCGGAATGGCTCCCCGCCGCCTGGGGCCCCCGCCTCCCGTTTCCGGGTGGTGAAGCTGCCCCAGGGCCTGGGAGAGCCTTATCGCCGAGGTCGCTGGACGTGTGTGGATGTTTACGAGAGAGACCTGGAGACCCCCAGCTTTGGCCGACTCCTGGAGGGAATTCGAGGGGCTTCAGGGGGCACTGGGGGTAGATCTTTGGATTCTAGGTTGGAGCTGGCCAGCTTGGGCCTTGGTGCTCCTACCCCACAGCCAGGCCTGTCTCAGGGCCCCACCTCCTGGCTCCGCCCGCCACCCACCTCCCCTGGACCTCAGGCCCGCTCCTTAACTGGGGGGCTGGGCCAGCTCGCGGTATCCACCAAGACCAAGGTAGAGACACCCCCTCTGTCAGCCTCCCCACCCCAGCAGCGCCCCCCAGAGCCCGGGACCGGGGACAGCACGGGCCCATCCAGGGCCGCCACACCCCAGCCCTCCCTGAGGGTGGAAGTGGAGTCTGGGGGCTCAGCGACAAGGACCCCTCCACTGTCCCGAACGAAGGATGGAGCCCTGCGAATGAGGATGGAGTTGGTTGCTCCAGAGGAGATGGGGCAGGTAAGAGCTGGGTTCTGGGCTGGCAGAGGTATCTCAGGGGTGGTGCTTTTCTATCTTAGTTTGGCCTAACCTTCATTGGGCCTCTCTGCCGTCACCTCTATACCGCTCCACTCCACTGTCATCTCTCTGTCAGGTCAGATAGAGCCCCTCTTTTCTCTTTCTGCCATCTCCCTTGGAAATCCATTCCTACTCCTCACCCAACTTTGTTTGCTCACTCAGGCTCCCTCCGTCTTATATTCTGCACCTTCTTTCCTTCACTTTGGTTTTCAATTGGTTGCCTTTGGCCTAAGTCTAACTCTGTATTAGCCCGGTCCCATCTCTCCATTGTAGAGATGTGGCCTCCTCACTTTACTTTCTGTCTTGTCTCACCCCTTCTGACTTCAGGGGAGGAGGGTGGAGGCCCCAGTTAGGGCTGGGTGTTTAGTCTTCTAGGGGAGGAGCTTCTAAGGTTGGGGGGCAGGGTAAGAGGTAGGCATTCTGCTTCTTCTCTTACAGCCCCATAGGAAGGTGAAGGGGTCTTTTTTTTTTTCCCTCTAGCCATCCAACCCAGTCTCATTTCCAGTTTTGCCCAAAGCCAAGTTTCTCAGAGCATCTGAGGGCTGCAGGATGGGTGATGGGTGGGGAGAACCATTACAAGGATGGGGGGCTTGCTGGTTTGTCTGTTCCACCCCCAGTTGTCTGTCTGTGTCTGTTCCCTGTGTCTGAGCCTCTCCAGGACTGGTAACTGGGGGTGGCCACCTTGGAGTGGGAGAGAGGTGAGAAGCAGCCTAGAAAGAGTTAAATCCTTTGCTCTTCTGCTTCCTGTCTCCAAAAGAGGAACAAGTCAGGGCTGGGGGATGGGGGCGGGGGCAGGATGCCTGGGTCCCTGGAGTGGGAGGTGGGCAGCAGTCTGGGATGTGGGGGTTGGATGCCTCTGTCCTGAAGGAGAAAATAACACTTGGATGGCAGCAGGAAAGGAAGGAGTGTGAGGATGGGAACTTTCCCCCTTCCTGGCCTTGGGCACAAACCACAGTATAAAAATAACCTGAGACTGGATGTCTGGGCCCTGTCAGGACCAGTCAGGACCAGCACCCCCACCCCCTGGCCTCCAGCTCACATCGCTCATGCTCTCCCACCCCTTAGTTTTCTTAGCTCTTTTGTTCTATTCCCATCACAGAGAAGAAGATGCTATTTCCTTTACAGGTCCCTGTCTCCATATTCTTCTAAATTAAAGCCCCTGTGCCCTCTGCTTCTGCTCTTTGCCTGAGCCTCCCTTGGGTGCACAGACCCTCCTTAAGGTCCCCAGCCCCCTTGCCTTCCTCCACTTACTGAACCCTGATCCCCTCCATGTGCGTGAATCTCTGCCCTTCTAGAAAGTTGTCTCCCTTTTTGCACTCCCCCATGTCTCTTCTCCCTTGGTGGTGGCTGCTGGTGGCCAGGGGGGCACTACCTGGGCCCCCTTCCCTGCTCTGTCCCTCTAACCACCCTGGACTTTCTGTACTTGGCTTTTCCGAGAAGCTGGGGCAAGCTGGGGCCTCCTGGGGCCTCACAGAGGCGTCTTGTTCCTGTGGCCCCCGCCCTTTTGCAGCCGCCCCCAGCGCCTGTTGGGCTGTATGGGTCCACGCCCAGGCTCCGCCTCCTCCATCTCCACCCCCTCCCCCACCGGGCTGAGAGCGGGAGCAGAACTTCACCTGAGTCCCAAGAAGTCTGAGGAGAGGCTAGAATGGGGGCCAGAGAGGGGAGGGGGGCGTGGGGAGGACCAGTCTGAGGATTCATTCATTCTACAAATAGTATTGGACAAATTATAAGTTCTGCTCTTTGGCAGTTACCTTCTAGCAGCAGAGGTAAAAAGACTTTCATTTCAGATAATGTTAGGTGCCATTTAAAAAAATAGAACAGAGCAGTGGAATCTCTAGTTGGATGATGGAGAAATGCCTCTCTGCGAACGTGACATTCGTGTTGCTTTAAGTCAGGTGATGGAAAGCAAACACTTTGATTCCCCTCTGACTAGGGTCCTGGCTCACCTGGCAGAAGGGTACTGGAGTGCAGACCAGAGCCCCTCTCTGGCACCTTGTGAGCCACTTTTTGGAAGCTACTCACCTAGTCCTTAGACTTGGCAGTTTCCCTTGCCTTTAGTACCTGCCCAGTGGCGTCCCTGGAGCTGTGGGGGAGCAGGACCTGGGGGCAGGCCTCCTGAGTCCTTAGGAGAGAGATTGGGGTGTGTGGAGAGGGAGCTTACCCGACAAGTTGTGAGACAGCTTGTTCATTTTTTCGCTCAACATGATAGTTACTAACTCTCTGCTTCCAGGTGCCCCCACTGGACTCTCGCCCGAGCTCCCCTGCCCTCTACTTCTTCCCCGATGCCAGTCTGGCTCACAAGTCTCCAGACCCCTTTGGAGCAGCAGCAGCTCAGAGCCTCAGCCTGGCCCGCTCCATGCTGGCTATCAGTGGCCACCTGGACAGTGACGACGATAGGTAGGTGGGCTTGGCTCCCCACCCATCATCTGGGGTAGCCCCATGAAATTGTCTGGAAGGTATCCTTCTCCCAAGTTGAACTTGGAGAGGTCCTCCGAAGCAGAGAAAACTGGCCTGGGCGTAAGCACTGGGTAAAGTTGATTTGGGACCCACTCCTTCTCTGTGGAGAGAGCTGGGTGGGACTCCTTGGCTTGGGATTGTCAAATCATAGACTTCTTTAGAGTTCGAAGGGAGTCATTGTTGTCAAATTCCAGAGCTCTTGCAGATTAGTGATCATCTGGCCAACCCCAAGAACTTACTGGCAAATGTACTGGAGAAGAGAATAGGGAGTTAGTCTCCTCCCATTTCCCAGCTCCCTCTCCTTACTGAGAGGAATGGGACTCATGCCTTCCAAGGTAACAGCCTTAGAGGTAACATCCTTAGCGTCCGTATGGGCTGCCTTTTGGTCTTAGAACCTTTTGTACCAAGAAAGAATGTCCCTAAGGTTCTGTTCCCTGCACAAACACCACAGGGCCCGAGCCTTCCCTGAGGTCAAGCCAAAGCCAGGGAAGGCACAGAAGATCAGGACTTACTGGGTTTGCCCTTCAGGGGAGAAGGCCCCATTCAGTGACATGGTGGGCAAAACTTCCTATTACGAGGGCCAGGTTTCAACATAGGAATGTCTGCAAGCTGAAAAGGGAGGAACGAAATCTCAAGTAGGATAACGAGGCTTCTCGCTTCTGACTGGAGACTGATGGGAACCCAGGAGAAGGATTAGGGAGTCATCACTTTTATTTTGGAGGGAGGAATAAGACTTCCTGTTTGAGGCCCTCAAGGGGAGGGACTTCCTGTTTGGCAGGAAATAAGGGGCGGGACATAGGGCCGTTAGGGGACCTATTTCAGAGGGGAATCTCTCCTTCCTGCCTTCCCCCAATTGGCAACCCCCTCCAAAATTTAAGACTCAGTTCCACCTAAGAAAAGGGTCTTTTGTCTTGGGGAAAGTGGGCAGCCAGAAAGGAAAGAGAGGGTGGCTCGGGGTTGGTGTGATGGAGGTGAGGGGCCTGGAAGAGGGACAAGTCAGGGCTGGGCAGGGTGGCTTCTGGGCTCCTAGCTCTCAGGAATGTGTGAGGTGTGAGGTCGGCCAGGGCCGGGAGAGTCACCTGCCTCCATTGCTGCTATTCTCAGCTCTTCCCACACTCTCCCCCTCCCACTTGGGAGGTTCCCTGGCAAGAGGGCTCCCTGTCCTTCCCCCACCTCTGTTAATTTCAGAGCCCAGCCTCCTGCTTTCTCTATCTTGGAGGGCTCTGACCCCAGAAGGCTCTTCAGTTCTATTCTTTTGGCTGTCCCCTCTCACCCTCCCTTCCTCTGTCCCACCCCCTCCACACACCCCAGTCTGACCGGTCGGGCTCCCAGCCTCCACTTTACTCTCCTCTGCTCCAAGCCTCTGGGGCTCTGGCCCAGCCCAGCCAGCCCCTCATGCCTCACCCTGCTGGGCCAGCGGGTTTGGGTTGGGCCATCCCCTTGGCCCCTGGAATGGGGTGTGTAGCCCCTCACCTCACCTCTCTGGTGTGCCCATAGTTGGCAGGAGGACAGGGTGCAAGTGGCATGGGACCTCCCTTGTGAGAGGAAAAAATGAGCTGGGGTGTTAAGTGCCTGGACCCCACCTGGGGAATTGTGAATGCCTGACCAACCCCAGGACCTGGGGATGGGAGAACACAGGATGCCTGGTACATGTGGACTGCTCAGGTGCTCCTGGGTGTCATGAACCTTCATGCCCCCAGGAGGACTTGGCAGTTAAAATGTACTTGAATAGGTGGATCGCCCAGCATGGGGGAGCAAGGCATTATAGGGAATGAGTCTCAGGAATTCAGTAGAAAGAGAGTACATTTATCCAGTATCTCCTTTGGGTCAGGCATTACCACCTAGCTTAAGGCAACCCCATGATCCCCACTTCTGGGTGAAGACACACACTCAGAGAAGGAAGATTTTAAAACCTTACCCAAGGTCACCCAACTAGTATTGCAATCAGAGTCTGGGTCTGACCCCAAAGCCACATTCTCTCCACTCTCCTGCTGGGATAGGCATCTGAACAGCAGAAGGGGCATCATCTCTAGAATGCCCTTTCTCACCAGAGGCAGGGACAGCTCTCCTAAACTGGGCAAGGAATGAGTTCTTTACCCGCCCGCCCCCCCTCCCCAACCCCCCGTAACCCCTGCTCCCTGGCCTGGCCCCACCAACAGAGGCTCCACAGATCTGGGAGGGAGTGCAGATGAGTATCTGGATGCCACTTTGTTGGCTTCAGGCCCAGCCCCTGGGGGCTTCTTAAAATACAGCTAGAGAGCAGGCATGACCATGTCCCCAGGATCAGAACCTCCTACCTCTCCCAGATGTCCTGTTTCTTCCTCTGATTCTTTTGAGGCTGCTTCCTTTGACCTTCAAAGAAGAGGACCAACCTCTAGGGCTGTCAGTGCCTGAGGACCCAAGAGTTCAGCAAGGCCAGCTCCCGGGTTGTGCATATCATGCACGGCACAACTGTAGGGGACACTACATCATGTTGGATGTCACTGTCGACATTTGAAGTTATGACAGTTTCCAGAAGAGGGCAATGAGTGTCTTGAAGAAGGGAGCATTTTGTTCTAATTCACACCAACTCTCCTTTTGGGCTTGTGGTAGGGGTTGCTACCGTCCAGCCAAGCCTCCTGCCGGCACCCTGCCCAGGAGTCCCAGCACAGGGCTCTCAGCTTCTCAAAAGGGAGGCCTGGGTCACCAGGATCCTGGTCCCTTGAAGTGTTAATGTTAGAACGTGACAAGGTGCTGTCCAAAACTCGAGCACTGGACAAACAGGAGATAGTCATCTATCAGCCAACAAATGTTTATTGTTGTATTATTCTTTTATTTCTGGCAAGAATGAACACCTTACTTGGCACCTTTGCCCTGGTGCCCGCAAAGCAAGGCCAGTGTTCCTTCTGTGAATCTGCTCCTTTTTGTTGTCTTTGTGTCTGGTGGCCAGGGGGTGGGCAAGGGGGGTGAGTGGGTGTTCTGTGGTGACCCAGTCTCCACCCAGGTGTCTCAAATTGAAATAACTTGAAAACTGTTCATTCTCCAGCTGGCTGGCCTTCCTCTCACTCTTGTCTTTCCCCCCACAACCCCAGGAGTCCAGGTGTCCTTCCCCACCCTACCCTGTCCTACGCTCTCAGGCCTGGTCATCTCCTTAGTTATTCTACCTGTCAGCACCTTCTGCATCCAGAGCTGGGATGGGAAATGGAAAATTCCCAGCTCCCTCGTGCTCCCTTCCTGGCTGCAGGGCCTCATCCAAGGGTCACCTTGAATTGAGTACTAATTCCCCCCACAGGGAAGCAAGTTGGAACTGACAACCAGGAGAGAGAGCTTGACAAGGGAGCACCAAGGGTGCAGGATGCAGCATGTTGGGGCACCTAGTCAGGCAAAACTAGGGTCCGAGGACTGGTGATCTTGCAGTACAAGGGGGCTGAGCTGGAAGTTGGACTGGACGTCTGGTGGTGAACCACGGAGTGAAGCAGGAGCCTGGGGTCTGAGTGATGGGGAGAGAGAGGCTTGGAGGCTAGGGCGAGGTGCAAAGGCCTGTGCGGGCCTTGGGCCATGCCAGGGAAACACTTCTGGAGGGAGAGCCAGGTCCTGGGACCCTGAGCTTGGCCCTGGGGATTGCTGAGCCAGGCCTGAGTCGACCTCTAGTGGCCACTGAATAGACTACAGCCAGACCTGTTCTCCCCTCCCTGTCTTCTGCTCCCAGGGTCTCCAAACCCCCTTGTTCCTGTTCGCAGTGTGGTATCTCCAGCCTTACCCTCTCCCTAAGCCCTCGCTCCCTCCAAGACCCCAGACCCAGATCCATAGGCTGTACTTGTCGTCCAGGGCTCTGGACTCTTTCTGTTGCTTCCCCTTTCCTCCTTGCTGTCACCAAGGGAGGTGGGGGACCCCTGGCCAAGCCCTTGTGGTCACCCATGATGTGCACTTTGTGTTTTGGTGGGTGCTCACAGTTCAAGGAAGACCATGAGCACACATCAGACTGCTCCCCCCATCGCCTCTACTTTATTCCTATCTTGCTGCTGAGAGGATCTGAAGCCTTGGGGGAGGCCAGTGTTAGTCCAGAGGGGCCAGGATGGAGTGGGAGGTGAGGCAAGGCTCTCCCTCACCCTCTACACCCCACCCCAATCTGGGCCTCTGGCCCCACAGCCCCTCCCCCAACCCAGCCACCAGCTGACTTCCTTCAGCCGGCCCCCTCCTCTCCACTCTGGGACAGTTGCCAGGGTGAGAAGGGGACACTGGCACTGACTGCGTCTGGGAATTCCCGCCCACCGTGGGGCTGGCTGGAGGGGGTCCCCGTGTCCCTGAGGAGCCAATCACAGCCAGGCTTTGCCCTGGGGGTGGTGGTGTATATCTTTCAGGCCAGCACCCCCCAGGCACTGTCTCCTCTGCCTGCCTGGCACCAGCCAGATCCCACTCTGCCCGGGGGGCTCTGAGCCCCCCAGGCAGTCCTTCCAACATAGCCCTCTCCCTTTGGGGGAACCTGAGGACCCTTCCCCACTGGGGATGGCCCAGCCAGGGATCTCTGTCAAGTCCCTGGTGTCATCGTATGAGACAAGAGTGGTGGGGATGGCTCCGGGGCCTCCCCGGAAAAGGGGATGTGTCTCTTCTCCTTGCTCCCCTCGGGGAGTGTCTCCTATCCGAGGGGCATCTGTTCCCCCACCCAACCGGGGCCTGGGTGGACCTGGGCAGCGGCCCTCTGCCCGCCGGGGGATGGATAAAACCCTCCTCTCCTTGATTCTCTGCTGTCACAGGTACAGGCAGGGTTGTGGGCGGGAGGAGGTGGGGCTGTGGAGGAGGCCAAAGTCTGCTGTGAGCAGCACCTGGGTAGGCAGACACCTGGCTGGCACCTGCTTCTTACCTCTCATCTCCCTGTCTCTCCAGCGGCTCCGGAAGCCTGGTTGGCATTGACAACAAGATCGAACAAGCCATGGTAAGAGAAGCCATCTTGATCCCAGGAAGTGTCAGGTGCCACTGCTCCACCCATCCCTGTTCTCTTACTCATCAGGGAATATCAAGTGCCTGCTCTTCTGCCTGTACTCCAGCAGGGTTCCCTTGGGTCCTCTGTCCCTTTCTCAGCGACTTTCTTTGGTCCCTGACCTGGCTCCTGCCCCCACCCATGCCTTTGAGTCCTGACCTTGCTTCTGTCCCACGTCCTTGTCCCATTCCCTGCCCTTCTCCCTTCTTCCCCACTGGTCCCTCAGCATTTGGGAGCAGGAGGCTCTCTCATACCCAGGCCCTCAAGGCATCAGGCAGAAGATGAAGTTGGGGTGACCTGGGACCCCTGACACTTTGTCTATCCCCGGACCCAGGACTTGGTGAAGTCCCACCTCATGTTCGCAGTCCGGGAGGAGGTGGAGGTGCTGAAGGAGCAGATCCGGGAACTGGCTGAGCGGAACGCTGCGCTGGAGCAGGAGAACGGACTGCTGCGTGCCCTGGCCAGCCCTGAGCAGCTCGCCCAATTGCCCTCCTCGGGGGTCCCTCGGCTTGGGCCCCCCGCACCCAATGGGCCCTCTATCTGAGCCTCCCTTCCCTCACAATGTGCCTTTGGGGGCTGCCACAGCTGCCAGGCCTTGTTCCAGCTGCCCCCCCTTCCTATGCAGCTTTAATGCTCCCTGATCCCCGGGGATGGGAGTTGGCCTATCCCCTGACCCTCCCTAGATCTCCCTATAGCCCCCTGGGGCTGGGCTGGGGCACCCCCAGGCCTTGCTGGAAGAGGGCGGGCTTCAGGACTGGGTGTTACAAGTCCCCCCTCCAGGAAGGATCCCAGCCACCCTTCCTTCCCTCGGTGTTCTGGGCCCAGCAGCAGATGTTTTGAGGGTGCTGGAGGCTCCCTGGCAGATCCTCCACCCCACCTCCTTCCCTCACAGTGCCCCCTCTCCTCAACCCAGGGGAGGGGGTATGGACAGTATCTGGAAGTTCTGGGATTCAGGTTGTTATTAAAATAATAATTATAATTAAAAAATCTGAAGAAACTTGAATCTGGAGGTTGGCATCTCCTTGCTTATATTGAGACTACTGCTACTGCGCCAGCAGTTTCCACTGTGGGAGACAGGCTTGTGGGCTCCCCTCTAGGTCTTGTCGAGAGACCGGATTTTGGTGTGGTGGAAACTGAGTAGTCGAAAGAGATGGAGGGGTGGCAGCTCGGGTCCTGGGATGGGGCAAGCCAGGCAGGGCAGAGGAGTAGAGGGGGGAGGGGGCATCTGCCCACGTGCTGGGGGGACAGGGAAACAATGAGGCCTTTGGTGATTGTGCAGGATCCACCCCCAGCTTCCCAGTGTGTCCCCTCTGCGGGCTGGATCCGGGTGGCTGCTTGGGGGTGGGGTGGGGGGCCCTGAATGGGCCCCTTGTCTCAGCGCTGGGTGTGGGCCAGGCTTCCCGGGCACACAGTGCTCTCGCCAGGCCTGGCTGCCCTCCGTGGCTTCCACCCCCAGCTGGCTGAGGACTGGGCCTTGTGGATGAACAGGCCCCTCCCTGACAGCCTCGGCTCACGTCCCAGGCGGAACTGGCAGGTAGGGAGAAGGACCCCATCTAGTGGGGAAGGGGAAAAGTGCCATCTGTCTCGGGAGGAGTCTTCCTGGTCAGAGCAGAAAGGTCCTGGGACCAGCTAGGTGCAGAGGCCGGCCAAGCTCAGACTCCCTGGCCTGTGACTCCCCAGATCTACGTGACCTCAGGCAGCTTCTTTGGTTTTTCTGAATCTCAGCTTCCTCATGGGTAAAGCAACACTGACAATAATACCTACCTTGAAGGGTTGCTGTGAGAATTCCATCACATGGCACATGGGAGGCCAGAAAGTACCAGGTCCTCCGTTCTCCATAAATATTTCGTTTCCTCCCAGTGGCTCAGCGGTTAAGTGCGGGGCTGCGAGGCTGCCCGCAGCCTCTGCAGCACCAGTTCGATCCCCGGCCGCCGGGCGAGGGTCCCACATGGAGCGCAGACCTCTCCTGCCGTGCCTGCTGCTCCTCTCAGCAGTGTACTTCGTCAGTCTGTCTGTTCTGTTCCCGCTCTGGCTCTGGTGAATCCTCTCACCCTCCCGTGCTTCTGACTATACCCAGTGCTTGTATAAATAAATAAATAAATCTAAAAAATATATATATTTAGTTTCCTTTCCCTGGATCTGGGGAAAGGAGGCAGAGGTGCTGGGATTGGCTCTGGGGGTCCTTAAAGAGCCGTGGGGGTTGGGTTTGGGCCAGGCAAGCTCTCACAATGGGCTAGAACTCTCCCTCCCTCTGGGTTCTCATCCACTTCAACTCCTCTCCCTGTCCCAGGGAGGGGAGGAAAGGCGTAGGATGAATCTTTGGGGAGAGTTTTCCCCCTGGATTCCCTATTTCTTTTTTCACTGCTGTGCTTGAAGCTCCCTTGATATCCCTTAGTTGGTGGCTACTGGCCTGAAGCTGTCCCTCTCCCCTCACCCTACCAAATGCTGATACTGTCCCCTCCTTGGGCCTGTGTGTTGTGTTTTTGGCGAAATGGCTGTGGTCATGAGGTTCTTCCGGTGGATATGGCGAAAGTTTACTTGCTGGGTATGTTTCAGAGACTGTCCTTTCTTTATGACATACCAGGAGGGGAGGTGCTGGTCAGTGACCTGTAGGTCACAGAAAACTGCTCTCCCCCCTCCCCCTCACCTGGCCTCCTTTTCTTCTTGCCTCTTGTGGACAAACAAGACTTGAAGGAAGAAGGGAGAGAGAAGACAGTTGGGGAGGAGGCTGTGAGGCCATCCTTTCCCCTGACTGCTGTATCCCTTCTGCCCCTTCCTTGTCTCTCCTCTCTCCATTTTGGTTTGTAGGTTTCCTTCTGGAAACACAAAGTTGAGCCAGCTATCTCAGAAAGCCCTGACCCCAAGAAAACTGTATTGAGGGGAGTAGTGAAGACTCCCAAATTGGTTGAGACTTTCAAGTTGGTTGAGGCTCCAAAAGAGGCCAAATTCCTCAAGACGGATGAATCCCCCATGGTGACCGATCCCTGTATGTTAGCCAACACAACAACAGATGAGGCTGGAGAAGAGCTGGACCATGGGTGCCGATCCCTGCTGCAGCTGCCCAGAACAGCTGTCAAGTCCGTTTCCACGCTCATGGTCTCAGTACTGCAGTCTGGCTGGCAAATGTGCAGCTGGAAGGTCAGTACTATCTATACCCCTCATCTCCTGCACCCCTCCCAGCCTCCCTCCACGGCTCATTCCTCCCTCCATTCACTTGTTTATTTCCTGTGCCTCTAGACTAATTGCTAGGCACTGAGGCAGGCAAAAAGATCCACAGCAAATGAGGTTTACCCAGAACTAAGAGGCTCCAGCCATGGTCATAGGCATTGTTGGTACAGAATACTAGGGGTGTGTTGTGGGAGGAATAAGGGGCTCTATAATAGCTAGGGGGAAACTGGGTAAAAGCATCTCAGCAGGCTTGCGGGGGCAGGGGGGTCGTCTAGGAAGGCCTTCCCAATAGCAGAGAGGATAAAGCTGAGCCCTGAAGGATTTAGCCTGATTCAAGGGGGAAGGGGTGGTGGAAGGAGTGGAAGGAGTGTGCCATGAAGACAGAGTAACCGGTGTTAGGGTGGGGGAAAGCATATGGGTTGGACCCTGGGGCAGAGAGCCAGCTCCTCCAAGGCAGAGTGGGTAACCCAGTTTGGGAGTTTGACTTTGGTGCTAAAAGTCATGGAAGCCCTTGCAAACACTTGAGCAGAGAGTTGACATGATCAGACTTTTATCTAGAAAATTAACCTGCACTCGTATGTTGTAGGAGGGATATAAAATGGTACAGGCATTTGGGCGAGGCATTGGGTACAGGCATTTCCAGAAAACAGTCTGAGAGTTTCTCGTGAAACTAAATATGCAGTTATCATAGGACCTAGCCATTGTACTCTTGAACATTTATTCCAGATAAATGAAATTTTATATTCACACAAAAATCTGTATATTTACAACAGCTTTTTTCTTTTCTTTTTTTTTAAGATTTATTTATTTATTTATACAAGAACTGGGTACAGTCAGAAGCGCGGGAGGGTGAGAGAATTCACCAGAGCCAGAGGGAAGAGCAGAGCAGACAGACTGACGAAGTACACTGCTGAGGGGAGCAGCGGGCACAGCAGGAGAGGTCTGCGCGCCATGTGGGACCCTCGCCCAGAGGCCGGGGATCAAACCTGCGCTGCAGAGGCTGCGGGCAGCTTCGCAACCCGGCACTCAACCACTGTGCCACTGGGGAGGCCCTACAACAGCTTTTTTCATAGTAGCCAAAAACAACCCAAATGTTCCTCACTGGGTATATGGTTAAACTGTGATGGGTCCACATTTGTGGAATACTTCACAGCTGCAAAAAGGGAACAAACTGTTGATATATGCAACCACTTAAGTAAGTCTCAGGGGAATTATGCTGAGTGCAAACAACCAGTTCCCAAGATTATATGCTGTCTGGTTCCATTTGTTTTATATATTGTTCTTGGAATAACAGAATTAAAGAAATGAAGACCTGATTCAGTGGTTTAGTGGTTGCTAGGGAGAAGGGATTGGTTTTAAAAGGTGACAGGAGGAAATGATGGAAATGTTCTGTACTTGGTTGTGGTAGTTGGATCCATGAACCTGCATAAGTAATAAAAATTGGGTAGAATTCAACACAGAGACACACACGCACACATGCACAAGTAAAACTGGGGAAATGTGGTTAAGATCAGTGGCTTGTTTTGGTGTCAGTGGTCTTACTGTGATACTGTATTATAATTTCGCAAGATTTTATTATTGGGGGGACTGGTAAAGAATATACAGGAAATCTATTATTTCGTACAACTGCATGTAAGTCTATGATTCTCTCAAAGTGAAAAAATGTTTTTTTGTTTTTGTTTTTTTAAAGATTTATTTATTTTTATACAAGAGCTGGGGTACAGGCCAGAGATGCGGGGGGTGAGAAGAGTCACCGGAGACAGAGTGGGGAACAGAATAGGCAGACGGAACGAAGTACACTGCTGAGGGGAGCAGCGGGTGAGACAGGAGAGGTCTGTCCTGCCATGTGGGTTTCTCCCTGGCCAGCTGGGAATCGAACTCATGCTGCAGTGGCTGTGGATTACTTCATCGGTTGTGTCTTAACCCCTGCGCCACCAGGGAGGCCCAAAGTGAAAAAATGTTTTTAAAGGGGAGTATCTAGATGACTATCAAACTGACTTATTTTGGTCTTGAATAAAGTATCCTGGCATTAATAACCATTTTAAAAGTTCAGGAGTGGGGTCAGAAGGAGACAAGAAGAGAGGCAGGAAGTCCAGTGGAGGTGTCACAGCCCAGGCTGTCCTCGACGGGGTAGAGGCATCAGGTAGAGCAAGTCATTGAACAGGAGTGATATTTAAGAGGTGGAATTGTTGTGACAGATGACTGGATGACAGTGATGTTGGAGGGAGAAGAGAGGTCAGAGTAGACTGGAGCCATTGACTGGGAGAATTAAAGAGTAGGTGCAGACTCAGGGGAGGAAGTAACACGTTTAGGGCACTGGGACAAGATGAGGTGTCAGCAGGACGCCTGCATGGAGATGTCTAGGAGGCAGTGGGATATACGGACCTGTAGGTGAGGGGAGAGTGCTGGGCTGGAGATGGAGGTCAGAGTGTCATTCTGTCCTTCGTTTTAACACTTTCCATGAAATCCCTGTGGGGACTCAAAGGTGGGTGAGACATGGTCCCTGTCTTCCAGGAGCTTGCATTCCAGTACTGATAACAAAACTAAACCAGTCTGCAGGACAAATAGTATAAGGTATGGCAGGTAAACATGCATAGAGACAGCTTGAGAGAAGGCTTCTTGAAGGTTGTGCCTATGTGCAAGCCTGATGGACAAGGTGGAATTAGACAAGCCTTTGCTATTTATCACAGGCAGGTCTACCAGTGGCTTCTCCCTAGACCAAGTTGTTGACATGTGCCTGTCTCTCCCTCTCTCTCTCTCTCTTTCTCTCTTAGTCATCTATGAGTTCTACCTCAGTTGCCTCCCAAATGAGGACCGGGTCCCCTTTGGAGTCTCCGGAGGCTGAGATGCTGCGGGAAGTGTACCTGGTGCTGTGGGCCATTCGGAAACAGCTGAGGCAGCTTGCTCGCAGGCAGGAGAGGCGTAGAAGGCGCCACATCAGGGCCCACACTAGTACCCAGCCTGACTCAGTTCAGGCCCTGAAAGAAGATGTCCGAAGTCCCCTCTAGGGGGGATCCCTGCATCCTCAGGAAGCCCCCACCTCACTCTTAGGTAAGGTTGATGTGAGAAGTTAGGGCAGCAGGCCAGGAGTTGTGAGTAAGGAGAAGTTTTCATACTGTCACCTCCCATTGGGAACCCTAGGCCGGGCCTGGGGTTCCACACGTTCCCCTTCATTCCCTTTATTCAATTTGTAAAATATTATCAAAATGTTGGGAAATAAATATCAGATATTTAGGAGTAAATGGAGAGTGTTTGTTCATGGCCAGAGGCAATGAGGGGAACTTGGATGGGACAAGGAGGGACACCTGAGGTGCTGCAGCAAATTTTTTTGGGAGTAACCTGTGGGCTGGGTTGGCAGGGGTGAAGAGGGAAGTGGGGGGTGGGAGAAAGGAGGGTGGGGTGGCTTGCGAGGTCCTGGCCCTGGGCTTAGACACACTTTGAGGGACTGAACTGCCCTTGGCAGCACTGCCAGGCCAGCTCCCATAGCAACTGCACCTGTGTGTTGAGGACATGTCCCACAGCAGATGCTGGGCCAGTGAAATCCTCAAAACAAAATGTTGCAGAGGTTATGGGACTTGTTCAAGGTCCTATAGCCAAAGAGACCTCGCTGGAAACTGCCTGCCTCCAGCAGCCAGTCCCCTCCCTGCCCCACCTCTCTGGCGCCATTGGGCATGGCGTGGGGAGGGTCTGTGGGTCTGAAACCACACCTGGCCTTGACGGATGCGGATGCAGATTGGAGGAAAAGGTGCTGAGGTCCTGCTGGCCACTCCCCTGCCTAAACGGTGAAAAATACACCCCCTGGGGTTCCTGGCTTCGAAGCCTAAGTTGGGTGGTGGCAGCTAGGCACTGTGAACTGCGACTTGGGTGGGTGCCCCCCTGGGGATGGGGTGGGGCAACCAAAGGGGAGAAAACAGAGCCTCAAGCCCCATCTCAGCCAAAGTACAGGAAGGTTCCCCAAGGGCAAAAAAAGAATATTTCACAAGACAACAAAATTTGAGGGATTTCGCGTTCAAGAGCTTGCAGGTGGTGTGGGGCAGGAAGAAAGGATAGCAGAAGGACCCAAGCTTGGGGGACAGCACAGATGGACAAGGTGGGAGAGGTGTGGACAGGGGAGAGCAAGAATGACTAGGGGGTGATGAGGAGCAAAGGGATGGCTTGCTGGAAGCAAGCACTCATTAGAAAGTCAGCAGGCTCTACCTACCCCCCAGGATATGTCACATGCATGTTACATGTAGATGCCCGTGTACACAGCAGTGTTCAATACATGAATGAAGTGGCTTCACTAGAAATCAGTTATGAGTTTAACCTAATGTCAGAGATGGTTTTTAGACATTCAGGCAGGGCCTCCGCACAGACATACAGTGCCTCATTTCTGGGACTTTCAATCAACCCCTATCCATCTCATTTCTTTCCGTGCCAGGACCCCTTCTGTTGTCTCTTGAAGGAAGCTTGGTGGTTTAATGGGTCCCAGGGCCTTGGAGGACAGTCAAGCACTGCACACAGTAGGCTGTTCCATCAAGGATTGTGCCAGTCCACTCCAAGATGTTTGCACAATGGAATCGCCTAACAACGCATTGCTCAGAACAACGTAGTTCGCTAAGATGCAGAATTAGGCCCCCTGTGTCCTTAGATATGGGCTCCTCCTCTTATTGGGGACCTAAGGTTTCACTGATGAGAAGGGTAGAGTGAAGGCTGAGGGTCACTAGTAAATGACCCTGCAAGTAGTTATTGGCCTGAAGCTAATCAAGGCTTGAGGCTGTGGGCTTGTGGAAAGGAATACTGCTCTCAGTGAGTGTGTGTGTGTGTATGTGTGTGTGTGTGTGTGTATGTGTGTGTGTCTTCTTCAGTGTCTTAGGAGTGAAAGCAAGGAAAGGAAGGTGAGTTCAGCCAGCAGCCAAGGGAGTTGCTGGCACCTTCCATCCTTCTAACTCTCCCCAGACACGATGGAGTCCTGCCTGGGCTTGGCCAAGCAGGGCCAGGGAGACGTGTGGGAGAGAAAGGAGCGAGAGGGAAGGAGAAGGTGCATAGATCTTGCTTTTCCTAAATGTCTCCTGGGACTTCCTTCCTCCCCATCATAAGTTATTCAGCCAAAAGCCCTAGAGAAGGTGAGAGGAGAGGAGGAAATTCCCAACTGGGAACAAGCCTGTGGGATCTCCTGGGGTGGGGTGGAGATTTTGGGGAAGGGATTCTTACCCACCCACCTCTCCTGGTAGACAGCAGTCAGAGATAGAGCGGCCCCTGGGGAAATCTACCTCCTGATGATAGTTTGGAAAAAATCCTTCCAATGACTTTCCATTGTCCTTGGGGGAAAAAGTTCCAACTGTTCCATTGTCAAAAATCCCACCCTGGACACCCCCCTTCCGTCCCCATGAGACCCCAGGCACTTCTCTCCCAAAGCTGCTTGACTCATCAGCCAGAGTGGTAGGATCACAGGTGGTTCCAGCTGAGACCAGGGGTCCTTCTTTATTTTCAAATACCACCATCTTGTTAGGGGGAGGTGAGACTGTGGGGAGCAAAATGAGAGTGCTGGCCCCAGATACTCTTGCCCCACGCCCCCTCTTCCACCAACAGCACCATATTTTCTGAAATTTTAAAAGCTTTTCTTCTCTGGAGCCTCCCTGTAATCTACTCACCACACAACAAAACAGATCACTCCCCTGCTTTAATCCTCCAATGACTTTCCATTGTCCTTGGGAAAAAAAATTCCAACTGTTCCCGATGTCAAAAATGTCCTTGTCTCAGATCTTGGCATGGTGGGCTCCTTGCCAGTGTGGACTCTGCACAAATGTCACTACTTCTTCACAGACTCTTTCCCAGATTATCCACTTACAGCTCAAGTGGTTGTCCTCTATCACACCCCCTGTTTTATGTTTTCATAGTACTTAACAGTATTTGAAATTATATTTCTTTCTTTCCAGCAGACTTGGGAGGCAGCAGGAAATACAGTAGTGGTTTAAATTAACACTTCCTGATGTGTGTAACCTTGGGTAAATTGGTAAATTACTCCAAGCCTCAGCTTCTTAATCTGTAAAGTGGGAACCATAGTAGTAGCTGTATCATAGGGTTGTCATGGGGACCAGGAAGATGACCCGTCACCATCAGCACAGGAAGGATGCAATGCATGTTAACTAATGTTATGATTAGTCTTCCCGTGGCATAAAAACAGTGATGAATGATTAAAAAAAAATAGTAATCCTTTGCCTAGTGTGTGGGAAGCAGACTCTTGCCATTTGGGGAGTGACAAAGAAAGCCCCTTGCAAGAAGTTGCGGGAAGAGCACTTGATGGAGAATCAAGAGACACTGGTCCTGGGCCTCCCTGGTGGTGCAAGGGGTTAAAACGCAAACTATGAAGCTATTCGCAGCCTCTGTAGCAAGAGTTCGATTCCCAGCCAGCCAGGGAGCTACCCACATGGCATGGCAGACCTCTCCTGACTCGTCCGCTGCTCCCCTCAGCAGTGTACTTCGGTCAATCTGCCTGTTCTGTTCCCCACTCTGTCTCTGGTGAATCCTCTCAGCCCCCATGCTTCTGGCCTGTAACCCAGCTCTTGAGCATAAATAAATAAATCTTCAAAAAAAAGAGAGAGAGAGAGAGATGCTGGTCCTGATCTCTATATTGTTACTATTTGTGTGTTTTTTTCAAAGATTTATTTTTATTTATACAAGTACTGGGGTACAGGCCAGAGGCGTGGGAGGGTGAGAGGATTCATCAGAGACAGAGTGGGGAGTAGAACAGGCAGACTGACTGAAATACCTGTTGAGGGTAGCAGCGGGTGAGACAGGAGAGGTCTGCCACGCCATGTGGGTATCTCCCTGGCCGACTGGGAATCGAACCCACTTGCTGAGGCTGAGGACAGCTTCACAGTGCTTGGCTCAACCCGCTGCGCCACCAGGGAGGTCCATTTTGTAGTAGGACTTGGTGAGTCACTTTCACTGGACCTCAGGACCTTCAAGTAGATGATGGGTTGAATTGCTCTGCTCCCTGCCAGCGTCCAGAGCTTCCACTTTGGTCCTTTGCTCCCTGCGTAGTCTGGGGTAGGGACACAGGTCTCTCCAACTTCAAAGTGCTGCTTCCTAACAGACCAAAGCCGCCAGGAAGAAAGTTGATCTGGGTGAGATGTTCTTGGTTTAAGCCTTTGAACCAGAGACAAAGTCCCTGCCCTGGACACCAGATCTTTCTATCCACATCCCTCTCTCCCCCTTCACACTCATCCAGTTTGGTATTTGAATCCTTTTATAGCATAAACCACCTCCCCTCCCTAACCTCTGGCAACTACTAACCTGTTCTCCCTCTCTGGAATTGTGTCATTTCAAGAATGTTATATAAATGGAATCATGTAGCATGTAGCTTCTTGGGATTTTTTTTTCCACTAACATAATCCCTTTGAGATCCAAGTTGTCGCAAGTATCAATAGTGTGTTCCTTTTTGTTGGTGAGTAGTTTCCATGGTTTGTATATACCACGGTTTGTTTAACCAGTTACCCGTTAAAGGACTTTTTTTTTCTTCCAGTTTGGGCTCTTACAAAGAAAGCTCCTACAAGCATTTGTGTACAGATTTTTGTGCAACAAAAGTTTTCATTACATGCACAAGAGTGCAAATGCTGGATCACGTGGTACATGTAGTTTTGTAAGAAACTGCCACGTTCATTTCCAGAGCAGCTGCACGATTCCACATTCCCACCAATAATATATGAGGAGCTCAGCCACTCTGCATCCTCACCAGCATTTGATGTTACCGTTATTTTTTATCTTAGCCATTCTGATAGATGTGTAGTGATATTTCATTCTGGTTTTAATTTGCATTTCCCTAATGGCTAAAGCTGTTGAACATCTTTTCATGTATATTCAACTAAATGCCATCTACATATTCTTCTTATCAAAATTTTATTTTGATGTTTTGCCCATTTTCTAATTGGATTGTTTATTATTGTTGCTTTGAACTTTTGAGAGTTTTTGGAAAACTGTATCCCAGATCTATCTAGAGAAAAGTGGTTCCTCTATATTTGTATTTTGTTGGCTGTGTGGTTTGTTGGTAGCTGTTATTTCATCATTTTAGCAGAATCTTTCCCCAGAACAAAAAATCTTAATTTTGTGAGGTCTACTTTATCAATTTTTCTTTTATGGTTTATGCCTTTGGTGTCAAGTCCAGGAATTCTTCCCCTAGCTCTAGATCCCTAAGATTTTCTCCTATGTTTCTTTTCTATGTTTTTATTGTTTTATGTTTTACATTTAAGTCTGATCCATTTTGCATTAATATT